AGATAGACTGATCTCCTTCGCGTAGCGTTTGTGGAAGTTCGTCACTATACCATCCCAAGTCATCACATGAGGAGTTATTTTGGTCGCGCATTTAATCTCTGACCTATGCTTATTAGCAAGTAGGTCATATTTTCGCTTTTTTCCCGGTCTCGACCGCTGTCAACCTTTCCTGACTAGTGATGCCAACCTCAATCAGGATTACGTTACGTCGCTTCTTATCGTGCATCATGATATCCGGTCCATCCGCTTTTATTCTGATTGCAGTTCTCACTCGCGTATCGACTCTGATCTCAACGTTTTCATCCTCGACGACCTCCTGAACAGAATAGCTTCGCAAGCGCGGTACCAGACCATACTTCTTGCAGAGTCCCAAGTGGATGCATCGTAGGACCTCACTGTGTCTTCTAGTACAGTCGTGACAAAACATTTTTTCGCACTGCGTTGCTATATGGTTCACCGTCCTCACATGTTCCTTACAATGTTGGCACATACCTTTCTCAGCTTCAAACATATTTCTATCTTCGAAAATACAAAGACCTTATGTAGTAGCACCGCCTTACCAGCGCATACCTGGCTGACTTAGTTGGAATAACATTTAGTCCTATCACATCAAGGCATCTTTCAACTTCTTGTGCCATAAATTTCATGATATCCTCATCGGTCACAAAGATCTTGAGATCGTCCACGAACAACAAATGATTCGTTAATGTGCATACCTTGATCAGTTGGAACCGCCACCTTTGGGTACCTTATATTGAGCTGACGACTCAACAGATCCATTCACAGGACGAATAGCAGCGGAGAAAGGCTATCACCTTGGAGAATTCCTCGTTCTATTTACTTCTCCATTGCTTTTCAATGTAACCGACCATCTGGAGGTGATGCTTCTCAGAAACCTGCTGATCCACGATAGCATGTTAAGCCTTTCAAAAGATGCCTCAGATATCCGAGCCAAATGTATGCTTGGAAGAATAATAACCTAAGACTTGAAGTACGGTGGACTACCTAAACATACAATCCTTCAATTACTGCTGCAAAACGATATTTAATCACTGATTAACCACACTCAAGACATTAAATTTAATTTTACGAGAAAAATTTATACAAATTTCTCGTGAAATTTTTCGTCGAAAAACTTTAAAAAATGTTCTAGTGAAGAAATCTGACCATCAATAGAAGTGTCAAAAATTATGCATCAGTGAATTACCTGAAGTAAAATATACAACTTTAAGTACAGTTTATTGACCAGCGATGAATTATAAGTGAATTTTAAGATACAAAAAGAATGCATAAAAAGGGATTAAGTCCATTTGGATCATCAACTAACAAACTTTGCAGGAATTTTATGAATTTTCTTCAATACTATTATTAAAACTTAAGCAGTATCGTAATATTATACACTTCATATTAAATCAGAAAACTGTGACTAGTGGACGAATATTAGAAAAATGAGAGCACTTTCAATCATTTCTAAAATTAAATTATTAAGTCTGCTTAATAGTCCTGTAATTTTTTTTGGTTCAGAATCGAAAAAGAGAAATGTAATGAGTTCCACTAAAAAAGTAACAGGTGTAATCTGTCTTATCCTTTTTTTATTAATTTAGCAAATTTACTTCTACTTCTTCTGATAATCTCCTGAAATTATATGTTCATCCGATGTTATTAAATTTCATCCCATCACTCTATAACAAGTGATCTTGACTTGCTTTCTCAATTTAAATGTAATTTTTAAAAAAATCTTTTGTAGTTCTGATGAAACCACAAAAAGCATAAGTAATAAATGATGTTTTTCAGGTTTTCTAGGAATGGCGTAAAGTGAAAAATGTAATAAAGTGCTTAAGTGTGATCGAGGAATTCTACAATATTATCACCGAAAAGTACACAGTGTCACTACCTATATTTTATAAGCTGATCGATAACGAAATTGAAGCACCATGTTGCAATGATACTCTATCACTATATACTTATTATTATATTGATAAAATAGTCAACGGAAAAAGTCAACAGGAAAGTTTCTTCAGAAAATATATTCACACTTTTCCCTTATAATGATTACTCAACGTGATCCTCAGCAAATACCTAAAGACCAACATTCTAAATTTTCAAAATTTATATTTTTTAAGCAAATTTAAGAATAGCAAGTGAATGCTATTCAAGATTTGTAACAAACGTACTAGCATACAGTCATAAGAGTTGGTCATTGGCGCTCTTTCGAATGAGGACTTCTTTATTAGGCGAATATAATTACTTATATTATTTATGCTTGACAATTTCTAGACATATAACGAAGTTTATCACAGAAAGATACGGTAAAAAGCGAAGTCTTCAAATATCAACAAAATATTTCAGCACAGTGAAGTGAGATTGCTTCTAAACACTGCTTCTAGACACTACTGGATGACTAGAAAATTTTCGATTTGTTCAAGTACAATCAAGAATATTAAAACAAGCTCATAAGATATCAATATCATGCATATGATCCAAAACATGATAAGATACTTGAACGTCATCACAGATTACAATAGTTAAACTGCAAAGTTTTTTGCAGATCAATTAATGCCTAAAATTATCACAAAGTGGTTGTTCTAATTTCATAATTAATACTGCAACAATCATTAATAACTGCTTGTTGCAGTTAATTAAAGAACACTAATATTGCGTTAAAAACTGCAGCTATGTAACTTATTATCAGTGATAAGACATTCGCACTACTTCCTAAAACTGCTATCAAGGAATTCGTTATCAGTATTTGCTTCTTTTTAGCAGCCAAAAAACCACTTTCCTCCAACACTTCACTTTTCTGAAAAAGTTTCAAACCATTCGGAAACAAGGTTATAAAGCTGAACTTTTTATGCCCTGATAGTGTAATTCTCCGATTTCGGTGAACAGCAATATTTGAACATCGATTGATGCCGTCATAGCAATTTAAAATTTTTAATTATAATTACTGTCACTTTTGCAAAAAAACGAGGAAAAAATATATATACTCTGAAATTTGTTACAGCAGAAAAACATGGAATCACTTCTTAACACTTCTTACACTAGGCAAAGAATTTTAGCTAATAGATACAATATTTTGAAAGGAATCAAAATTAAATCTATCCTAACTGGACATCACTATTCCCAATACAACACTGCTCCTCATATACCAATCATGAGTACCACGTCGGACCAAAAACAAGCAAAAACTTCGCTCCAAACAACTACAAAGTATTACTGGTTTCCACAAGAACTTGTACAAGAAATCGCAGTGACCATTGGGTCAATGAATACTGTAACAATGCCAGAATTTTTTGAAAGTAAATGGATGTACAAAATATTTGCAGAATCTCATATAAAAAAACAGAAACATACATGAAAATAAAACAAAAACCCAAGTTCCAAGTGAACGCCTTAGTACATATATTTTTTCAGATACGACAGAAAAATTCCGCTAGGTTTCCCCAATGAGATATTTCATGCTTCACCAAACTAATCATGGTATTCAAAAACGAGCAACTGCTGAGAGGTTCTGAACAGTAAAATAATTTGTCATGTATAGTGCGCACTACAACTATATCAACACTTTATAGTAAGTCAAAAAATTACCTCATATCCATTGGATTAACTGAACAAATCTGCAAGATTTGTTTGCAGATTTGTTCAGTTAATCCATAAATACATGCAACAATATAATAACTCTGCACAACAAAAACTGCTAAAGGTCTGTCAAGTAGGTTTACGGCAAAATTACTTTTGATCTGCCAGTAGACGATCAGTTCTATTTTGAATTTGAATGTCAAATTTCGTACCAGCAACTCGACAAACATACAGCCAAGCATGAAAGCAGTAAAGTCATGTACTGACCAGAATTTAAGTATTCTCTCAGCCCCCACGTTACCTCAAGACTACACTCAACAAACAACAAGACCCTTATCTCTAACATTGTGTTCACCAATTACCTTATCCGATAAAAAACTAGCAATTACTTCAAAAATCAGACCATCTCCATAGAATACTTAGATTTACGCAATACCAATGAAATGCATTTTTCAACCATGGCTTAAAATGAAATTTTTGTATCTCATCAGCAAGTCAATCTCTAACATTAAAAAAAAATTCAATATTTTTCCGTCGTGCGTAACATAGCAAAATCACTAAGTAGACAATTTTTTAGGGTTTCATGACATTAATATTTGTTTTACTAACCAGAAAATATAGAGTAGACTAATTCAAGTCTGTGAAGTATGCATACGACATAACGCTGTTCCTGACCTCCAGCACTGTTCTTCTTAACTATCCCATCTTCCTGTCATGCACATTTGCATACTCCACTATGTTCAGTTTTTTTCACGTTAAGCAAAGATCGCGCGCTCCATATTCGTAACAATTATTTGAAAATTGGTTTACTAAGTAATGAATAAATGTTTGTATAAATACAAATAAATAAATAGATAAACCGAGTTATTTGAAAACTGCTACGAATATGGAGCGCGTGATCTAATACATTTGGATGTAAAAGTGATTCTATTTCATACTGTAATGAATCTATCGATAAAGAGCTGATTAATATGCTCTGGAAAAATGTGTAGGGTATCACAAAACATATCGTTTATTCCATTGCGCATATATCGAAAATCAGCTGAATGGACAAGATTATTCGAAGTCGTCTAATGCATTGAGTTATTCAATCGAGTTGTCTTCTTCGTTGATATTCATGTACATAATTTATGTAGTTTCTATATTATCGAGTAACCTTATTTGTTGCTTTTATCTTTCCTTAACGTGAGCAATAATATATTTTCTACGTATTAGTTTATATCATTCGTTGCTTGATTTTAGGTAAAACAGTAATGTCAGGTGAAGTAGTTCGACCGACTTCTATATCACAATTGCTGCCAAATATGAAAAGTGTCAATCTGACATTCATTGTTCTTGATGTGGGTAAGTAAGTAAACTCCTGCTGAGCTGAAATTTGAAATCGATTGCTTTGTGATTATTTAATCAATCACAATATAAACTTGCACATTCTACTACCATTCACTTCCTTTCTTATCATTTTTCATTCCTTTCCTATTTGCACTTCTTTATTCATACGTTCTCATTCATCCGAAATAGCTGTAAATTTCTACACAACGAGAGTTATTGCACATTTCTGTTCATGTAGTAGTTGCTTCCTTATACCATTCAACCCTTTGCCAGTAATTTCATTAAATTTTAGGGCAGTCTCGACGTACTCCTCAAGGTCATGATGTACGCACAATCCGCGTGGCTGACCCAACAGGCTCTGTTCTTATGGGTGTTTGGAATGATGTTGGGGACAAAATTTGCTCTGGCGATATATGGCGACTACGGTCCTTATTATCCTATAAAAAACTGCATTATTTTTAGCCCATATATATTAAAAACTGCACATCTTCCTTAAAAGTACTAAGGTCATTGTCTATTTTATATTTTAGACATCATGGCCATCAGTTGATCAAGTTGTAAAACCTGGTTTACTGAGTAATGGATGTTTATATAAATAAATAGATAAACCGATAAACAGATAATT